CCCTTGCTCTTTGCGTACGGCCTTCTCGAAGCCATGCCTGACAACACCTAACCACAGTGTCTACACTTCTTTGCACTCTAACTGCAATTGCCCGAAAAGAAAGTCCAGCTTCCCGAAGTCCCACTATACGGCCCCTATCAAACTCACTAAGTTGACGAAATCGTACAGGTATCCGTACTCTAGGCATCGTAACCGATCGTAAAGGATGTCAAGAACCAAAATCCGCCAACGTTGATTCTTTACTGCGGCTGAAATATTCATTTTTAGAGCGTTAGTGAATTAAAAAAAAAGCAGTATAAAAACCGGAATGTCCAACTGATAAGGCTGAACATTTTTTCACTTGTTATTTACAGTAAGATAAATACATTCACCAACTTTTATTAAAATAAAACCATTTAAACTGGGTGTTCGGATTTATATGTCACTTAGTATGATTGTTCCTGTACGATGTTTGAAATTTTCTTGTTCGCAGCTATAAACAAACAAAATTTGGCGCAATCCAGTATTTTGGGGCGCTGAATCAGAATACAGCAATAAAAAAATTGTGAAGGGTCATGTAGCACAGTTAGGGATACTGTCTAGTACCGTAAAATCCACGTCGGATTTGGAATCCACGCACCCGATTTACTAAGAAAACGGGTTTTTGGGCAGACAAAAATGCCCTTGGAAAACAAAAATAAAAAATTGTTTCACTTCTGTAAGTATTTTTCTGGATGCGTACGATTGTAATATATTTGTTCCAGAACATCTTTATGGTTCGATGAAAAGAACAAAAAGCCGAAAGTTGCAGCCCCTTAGATGACATTTACTCAGAAAACTATTAGTGATGAAACTATTTTTCCTACAAAATATGATAATTTTTTTCATCTGATTTATTGGCTCTATAATGGAAAATGCAACAGACATACGGTTATGCAGGATGTCAAAATAGAAATTCTAATGGACATGGCATATCTACACGATTTTAGGGGGTTTAAAGATTTTATTGCTCATCTACTAAACATCTAAATCGTCTTTAAGACATTCTCGGCCACTATAACACTTTCGTTTTGGCTCGGAATTGTCCAAATTTTCCCAAATTCAAAAATATTTTTTTTACGATTATTGATAAGGTGTAAAAGTGCCGTTCCAGACCAACGAATTCAGACTAGGCAAAAGCCAATGATTTGTTCATCTCCTAATTTTCATAGTCTGTCGTGATGTTCAAAGTGCACTTGACACGAGTAATTTTTTGACAATTCTCCGACATTAAATTCGTCAGTAGCTGTACTGTGACCTGCCAAAAACCGTGAAAAGATCGATAGTCTCGTTGTACTTTGATTAACCCTATTCTTGCAAATGTTTAATTTACGTCCATTTTCTTAAGTTTAAGATATGTTTCAGATTACTGATCATGAAAATGCATAGGTTCATTCATTATATCTGAAAATTATACTGAAAAAATGAACTTTCGTCGAGAAAAGGATGATGACGTGAGGATTTTGGAAATTATTATAATAACATACCCCAAAATACTGTTGAGCCAAGGAAAATCGAAATCGAATACGAGCAACAAAGAATGCTGAAATTTCGTGGAACTGAATTTGGGGATTCGGAACCTGTGCATCCGATTTACCTATGGAATAGCTTTCTCTAGGAATCAAAAATCAGTAAGGATCTTTGACAATTCCTCTTATATCACCTGAATAGCATATTATCATTTTTGTTGCGCGTTGTTACAAACTAACTAATCTCAGTATAGCTAGGTAGTTTCGTGTGCTGGATCCGCCATCTTATAACATTGTTGTGGGAGCGAAAATGAGTCGTTTGGAACCCCATTAATCTTGGATCCAAATTGACATCTGATTTGGCACAATTTGCAATCCAGCCATCCGATTTAACCAGCTAACAAATTTCTAATCAGGTTATCAGCACTGCTACACAATTCCGCTACGAAAAATTTTCAATCAAACTCGATACAATAAATTAATTTGGGGTGCTAAATTCGAGTACCGCCATCGACTAGTTCTGAACTGTCGTGTAGTTGAATTTGTGGTAAAAAATGATCCGCCTAATTCTCTTACCGTTGCCAAAGTAGATTTCGAATATGGAATCAACGCACTCGATTCATCTACAGAAAAATTGGAAACTTGTGAAAAGGAGCTTTTTAGATATTTGGACAACCTGAACAACTGATATGTCCCCTTTCCACTTGTAAGATATATGCGTATTCCTTGTGACAGAATCACTTTATTCTATTTCATCAAGATGACTAGTTAACTAACCTTTTATGGAACTAGATAAGTGTGTTATCTACATAGTCAGTCCTCGTTAATTTAGATTCACATGAAAATTTCATTGTACATGTGATAGTGTAGTCGTTGCAAGCAGTGGTGTTGATGGCAGACGGAGCTCGCCTTTCAACAAATTATATAGACATGATGGAATCGGACAAAAACAATATTATACAGGGTGTTCATTTGAAAACTTCCCACCGGGGATTTATCGAAAACCACTGATTAAAAGAAAGAGCTCCGAGACACATCAACAGATTTGTCAAGGGGGCAAGTTTTTAACCAAAAACTACCTTTCACCCTCGGCCGCCAGGGTCATTAAACGACAACGGGTATCCCCAGTGATAGCTTGTTTGGAAAGTTTTTTGAAGTCCTTTATTTTAACGTTTGATTTTTTAAGATCAGTTTGGAGAAAATTAGGAAAATCTTTATTTATCTTAATTTATTCAGATAGAAAACAAAAACACAAGAAAATATCACTTTTTATTTCAATAAGTGTACAAAATGTTGCCCATTAGGCTTTGCCAAATCTACAATTCGTTTATAATTTAAAACGAAAACTACCAACATAAACAGCAATTCGGAAGATGGCAGCAACCAAATAACAACCCGAATTTTTTCCGCATTCTTTTCATCAACACAGATATCCTGGGCGACTGTATTGAATGTTATATCTGTTTAGTTATTTGTTGCTAAGGGAAAGAAAGAATTTATTTTGCGGTCAGTTATCTTTGTGACAATCTTGGGATAGTGAAAATTAATTTATTAATTCAGATTTTATTTCTAAAATGGTTTACACACTAGCCGAAAGAGTGGAAATGCTTCTAATTAAAGTACCCAAAATTAATGTGCCGTCACCTGTAACGCCAGACATCCGGGGAAGATAACTTCGCATAGGTACGTTTTGCATCTTGTAACTAAATTTACTCAAATTGGATCTGTTGCAAATAAAATACGTGGTCATCGGAGAGTTTTGGATGAAGCCGCTCAAGTTGAGGTGTTGGGTCATTTATTACGCAAAATTGTTGCTGCGGCTGGTCTTTCATTAGGCTTTTCTTCAGGTTCTTTACGCACAGTTACTAAAGTCCATAAATTTAACTGAAGAACGTTTCGATAGGCGAGTTGAGTTTTGTGAACAAATGACTTCAGCGATTAATGATAATACCATTCATGTAAACAATATCTGCTTCAGTGATGAATGCACGTTTCATCTAATTTCTAATTTGGATGGATATATGTATTTGGATATGCTGGAAAATACCATCAATCCGCTTATCACTGAATCCATTGAAAACCAAGTTGAAGAGGAAGGCTGAAATATATTTCCAGCAAGACGGCGCTCCTCGTCACTATATTCTTCCGGTTCGACAATGGCTAGACGAGTTTCCAGATAAATGGATAGGGCGAAGAGGGGGCCTATAGAATGGTCTGCTAGATCTCCTAATTTGACGCCATAGACTTTTTTCTATGGGGCCATTTGAAATGTATTGTGTTTACTCCCCAACCTGAAAGTTTGGATGAACTTCGTTAACGCATCATCAAAAGCTGCCATGATATTTTTGAAAATGTCCGTCAGGAATTTAAACATCCCCTATATCATTGTTTGGCCAATAACGGGCAACATTTTGAACACTTATTGACATAAAAAGTGATATTTTCGTGCGTTTTTGTTTTCTATCTGAACAAATTAAGATAAATAACGATTTTTCTAATTTTCTTGAAAACAAATCGACCGATTTTAAAAAGTCAAAGTCAAAATAAAGGACTTTGAAAGACCTTTTAAACAAGCTATTACTCTATACTCTATACCCCTTGTTAATTAAAGATTTTAAAGGGATGACCCTGGGTGGCAGAGGGTGAAAGGTGGTGAAATAGTTTATGGTTAAAAAGTTATCCTCCTTGACAAATCTTTTGACGTGCCTCGGCGTTTTTATTTTTAATCAGTGGTTTTCGATAAATCTGTGGTGTGAAGTTTTCAAATGAGCACCTTGTATGAAAATCAACGCAGGGTATGCTTTTTTTACTGTAGCACCATTGTGATGGAAGATATGTTACCACTGACTAACAAATTCTACCTGAAGATAACCAACCATGTACTATATTCAGGTGCTCGCAAAGACATCTGGCAGTAGCAGAACCAAACACTGTAACTCTCTTCAAAAGAATGTTTGTTCTAGTACTGTTTCATAGATAGCACTAGAGAATGTTAGCCAATGATGTTACCAATGGCTATAGTAAAACATACATTAATTTTACACTGTCTGGACCAGGGAAAACTACAGAATTCTATTCAATTTGTTTTTAAGAACTATGTATAAAAATTCCATCTTGTCTGTATATTTGTTAGCAAAAATAATACTAAAGCTGGACCCTAAACGTGCAAGATACATCAAAATAACGGCAAATAAAAAATGTGAACTTCTATAGCAACATAAACAGTTTAGATCTCATCCTTGCATCTGATTATTTGCAAAAATTAAAAGTAAAATTTTAGCTAGATGCTTCTTAGAAGACATTGAAAACGAATGGTTTTTGAAAGCATGACATAGGAAATACTCCAAACTCAGACGAGTTCTTTTACACAGGATTACTGAGATTATCAAACAAAATTTCTTGTTATAGCAATGTAAAAACTCTCCCAACTATCTTGAACTAAACTTGAAACATGTTTCTGTGCTTGGATCGAAAAACTATTGAGATAATATAATAAAACAAAACTTCACTGACCTGTGCCTAAAGATTCCTGTTTAAAATCCTTTGTGGTGTAATTTGAACTTTGGGGGATTATTTCCATTCCACCTAAACGATAAAAGAAAATGTCAGAAGTAACAACAATACCGCTTCAGGCAATCAACTCCTACATAAAAGTACAGTTACCTGATAAGTCTGTTGAACCATAAAATTTTCGTATCCTCTCAACTTCATTCTCTTGCCTTGTATCTTCCTCCAAATCTCCATCACTAGAATAATCTGGAAGCTCCATTTTTGGCTGAAGTATATTTTGTTTTTTCTCTAAACTCAGGAGGGCTTCACTTTCTTCGGGCAAACTATTCAGCATTAAGTTATTCGCAGTCCTACAAAAATGACTTTATTCTAGAAACCGCCTATATCGAATTTAGTAAGTGCAACCACTTTCCATTCTCAAAAAACTATACTTGCTTATTTTTTTCTGGAAAACTTATACATGGACATTTGAATGCATCGTTGACTTATATACCTGCAAATAGCCAAGCATATACTGTATTTAGGTGTCCAAAAACGGATGTAAAAGATTCCAGCGCCATCTATGAAACGGTAGCCGAAATGAATTTAGAATCTACTCTGAAAAGAAATATTCTTTGATTCTGCTATCTCGTAGATATATTCGCAGTCCATTATGCGCCGGCACAACAAAGATGCAGCGCGGCAAACCGGAAGCCGCCTAAGCGTTGCAACAGCTATTGATCTACGACGAACAAGTGCAAGATCCGACAGGATAGCTATATCTGGTAGATTTGGAACCAACACCTGTTAGATACTCTGCTTGTATTATTATTATTTCTCTTGAATACTGTATGAAATAATCATTTCCAAGAAAAGGAAAACGATTTGTTATCTGTCACATTGGCAGTGAAGCTGGCATTGTGCCCACTGCCCTATAGGCATTTGAGTAAAAGAAAACGACCGACTACCATGAAGAAATGAACGGGGGTTTATTTGAACGATAAAAAAATCCCACAATGTCCACAAGAAAGCCAGAAATTCAACAATGGCTCCTATCAAAAGATATTAGTTTCAATGAAAATATGGTCAAAGCAGAACTTATCCATCTAGTCAGGCAGCACAAATATAAATATAATCTTAATTTTATTGACGAAATGGCTAAAAACCAAAATAAGACCATTTTTTTATAACTGCCAATTAAATCCCATTGAAATGATTTTGGCAAATATAAAAAATTATGTGGCTTCAAACAATAGAACATTCTAATTTTGAGACGTGAAAAACTTGTTTTATAAAGCTGTCACAGAGTGACGGCAAACCATTGGACATATTGCATCCGTCACGTTCAAGAGACAATCGAAACAAAGGTGTGGGATCTGGACAATATGATCAATATTCAAACTGAACCTATAATAATTAATATTAACCATTCAGACGATGCGAATAAAGATTTGTGAAAAGCATGTGCACTTCTTTCTATAAAAATAATCACGAATTTCTTAGTGTCATCTATGAGGCAGTAGCAGAATCAAAAAATTTAATCCTTTTTAAAATAGATTTGTAAATTCATTTTTGTATTGTGCCACTATCCTATAGATAGCGCTAGTATCTTTTAGATCCCTTATGTATATGATACAAGTTTGATCGAAATTCCCAATTATGATTTATATTATAATATATTAATAAAAATGACGGGGTTCTGATTTACGTAAGACAAAATTTGAACAGTGGGTATGAAATTTTTAATATAACTCAAACAAAACTTTTACGAGTTATTCTTCAAAAGAATAATAAATGGATACAGATCATTGGTGTGTACAAATCACCCTGTATATCTGTAACAACATTTAACGGTCAATTACAAGATTATCTAGAAATCAGCAGAAAATTTGACATCAACTTATTCATTGAAGACCTTAACATTAACATATTAGATCATAACAATCAAAATATTCAAGATTATTTAAATATAATGGCTGAACATGGTTACCTGTCAGCCATTAACTAAATGACAAGAGTAGAAGGAAACAGTGGGAGTTGTATAGATCATATGTTTATAAATTCACGTTTAGAACCTGACAAAATATATTCAGCAATTCTAAAACACAAAATTTCTGATCATTTTCCTACTTTGCTCAAAATCGATCTTGAAAGTACATCAACCAAAATTGAAAAGAGAGTGAATAATACAAAAATTTACATTGATTATGAAAAACTAAATAACAACTTACTCAATGAAAATTGGATTGTAGTATATAACGAACCTAATATTGAAAATGCATTTGTCCTTTTTATATCTAGCATTGAAGGCCATATAGCTGAATGCACCAAAACAGTATAGATTCCACGAACACAAATAAAAAGACAAGCATGGATATCAAAAGGGATTATTACCTCCGTCAACAAAAAAATAGAATTATATAAGGAAACCAAAAAATATCCTTATGATGTTAAACTTTTGAATGAATTTAAATCATATCGAAACAGACTGACAAAAATAATTAAAGAGGCTAAAATTAAATATCTCCAAGACGAGTTTGATAATCTACAAAATTGTTCGTCCAAAATGTGGCAATTTATCAATAAAATACAAGGCAAAAAACAAAACAACAAAATTCGTACAATTAAAAAAGAAAATGGTGAACTAGTGAGTAATGATGTAGATGTAGCAAATGAATTTTGTGAATATTTTTCAAAAATCGGCAAAAGGTTGTCAGAAAGCATAAAAAACGCGGAGAAATTAAATTATAGGAAGACCAGATTATATAACTCATTATATCTGGAACCGACCGATACGCATGAAATAAAGACAATAATCAATTAATTGAAATTAAGAAAATCTCCAGGTCTAGATAATATAACAGCGTATACTCTCAAGAGAATAAATTGCAACATCTGCGGCATACTATCATATTTGATAAATTCTTGTATGAATAAAGGAATATTCCCTTCATGTTTAAAACACGCTATGGTAAAACCATTATTTAAATCTGGAGAAAGAGAAAAACCCATCAACTATCGACCAATTTCCATCTTAACAAATTTTTCTAAAATATTTGAAAAAGTGTTAAAAAAACGATTCACCGAATTTGCAAAAAAATATAACTTAATAGCGGAAGAGCAATATGGTTTTCAAGAAGGAAAATCTGCTCAAGATGCTATTGTAAAATTAACAAATAAAATATACACGAATCTCGATATTGGCAAACCAACTGCTTGTGTTTTTGTTGACTTGGCAAAGGCATTCGACTCTATTACTCATGAATCGCTTTTAACAACTTTAGAAAACTTAGGTTTCCGGGGAATAACATACAAACTTATAGAAAATTATTTGTCAAATCGAACACAGTACGTCAAAATTAATAACACATTCAGTGAATCCCATATTATATCACACGGTGCACCTCAAGGCTCAGTATTAGGACCCATTTTATTTAATCTATTTATCAACGATTTGTTCAAAATAAATAGTACAGGTAAAGTTATCGGTTTTGCGGATGATACAGCTATTCTCTATGAAAGCAACCAGTGGCATACACTAAAAACTACAATCGAACATGATTTCAAAACATTTATAAATTTCTTTTCGGAAAGAACTTTGACAATTAATTACAACAAAACACACTATATAGCATTTTCTTGTAACGACAGGCTCTCACCACAATTTAAAAAACTTGAAATTCATACAAGCAGTAGTCTCAAAGAGATTCAGTCAGCCGATAAAATAAAATACTTAGGCGTGATTTTGGACAAACACTTAAAATGGGAAACCCATACAGAGTACCTTGTGAAGAGACTGAGGTGTATTATTCCAAAATTCAGGTACTTCAGAGATATTCTAGATAAGATATATCTATATAATCTATATTATGCTCTTGTTTATCCTCTATTACTTTACGGAATTTTGGCTTGGGGGGAGTTATGAATAATAATTACAAAAAGGTTGAGGTAATCCAAAAATTAATTCTAAAATTGATCCTCCATAGGGAGATTACTTATTCAAGTGATTTTCTATATGTAGAGGCTCAGCTATTAGATTGCAGAAAAATTTATTTTTATTGTGGTCTAATACATTATTCCAAATATTCAAAATACTTTAATCGTACCATTCATAACTACTCAACAAGATTCAATCAAAATTCAATGTGTATTCCACAAACATCAAAAACCATTACACAACGATCTCTGTTTTTCTTGGGACCAAAATTCTATAACTTCATATCCGAGTCATTAAAAGTAATTAAATCAAATAAATCATTTAAAAAACAACTAAAAAAATGGATTTTACAACAACCAAGGTACTCCATCCACGAAATTGTAGATCTGAAAAATCATTATCAAAATCAATAATATTTTACTTACACATCCATACTTTTACTTCAGTTCTAATTGTCTGGATATTTTTCCTGACATTACCATAATAATTCACCAAATTATACAGTATTAACGGGTTTTTTTTCATACACTGACTGTACTATTAGTTTTTATTTTGTACAAACCCAAACACAAGTGCAAACTTTTTTTGGGTGCTTTATGTTTATTGTGCACAATATTTGATATTTACTTGTATTTTGTGACAATAAACATTATTATTATTATTATTATTCGCCGCCAGAATATGGTTGGCTATTTTCAGGCTTCAGGAAGACTATATTAAACAATGCTTATATTCATCATTATATATGTCAAAGGTGTATATGACCATGGGTGTTTATTAAAATTTTGTAGGTCAGTAGGTATATCAGTCCTGGTTGCCCAGAGAGGGAAAGAAGAAAGAAATGAATGAATGAATATGACCGTTAGAAGGCTGATGATTCTGGCTGTATAGTAGATCAGATCCACTTGCCATTAAACAAACTAAATATGCTTTCGTTCATCTGACCAAAAGACAGCCAACCATGCACAGCTGTTTCATGATTTTTGGTCGGATGGACAAAAGGATCATATTTAGCTTGTTCAAGGGCAAGTAGACCACATCTACTATACAGCCCGAATCGTCAGCCATCTAGCGGTCACATGGTGACTGGGCTATTAAGCGCGAACTGGGATCTTATTTCGATAGACTGTACCCTCGTGATAGACGATAGTTCGTTGTCCCAGTGGCGAGAGACCAAGCCTAGGCCATACTGATGAGTAGCCAAAGCGCACGAAGCACCTGTCCATGGTAGACTGGCTTTTGGTCGGACAGACGAAAGCATCATGTTTAGTTAGAAAAGGCAAATATGATAAAGTGTGTTCATTGCCTTGGCACTGTTAGCTAGAATTTTAAATTTGTTACCTGCATTGCCTTTTGGGACTAGAACCGTTTTCCAAATTCTCTTCTTGCTCGTCCTCTTCTTGACTAGATGTAACAGTACTTGAACACGATATTTGTTGTGTTCTTTCTAACTTGGGTCTTGATGAGCCGTTTTGCAGTTGAGGAGTGACCATCTCTTCTTTATGTCTCTCTGGCACCGATTCTGCAAAGCAACCAGCAGATTACTATACTATACTATAGTAAAACTCATAGTGTATATCTGGCTTTTTCTGCCAATCTGGAATGTTTGTCGCTCTAGAGCGGCAAAGTTGAAATTTGCGATTGATCACCGGAAAAGCAGAACAATACCATGCTTTTTTTACCTGTGGAAGTATCAGTGAGTCCCCGAATTTTTAGAGATTCAGCAGTCTTAAGAAAAGCAGGAAGATGAGCTTGAGCTACATTCACCTCTCCTGCATACATGAATTCCATCAAGGCCACAATATGGCGGGCTTCAACATCACGCATGAAGATTATTGGGTGGGGGCATGGATTTGTCTAAGAAAAATCATCAGAATGTTAATATATAGGTGCTTCTTAGAAAGTTTCCAATTTTAAAAAAGGCATAAAGTTGATAAGAAAAATTCATAAATATACAGATGGGTCCTAAAATGCTCCCTCACCAAAATATGAGGTGCTTTACTTATAATTTCAAAAACTAAAAAATATATCTTTGGAATGAATCAACTAAGAGCATAACCAACACATATGAGTATGTGACTTTCAAAGGCGAGGCTAAGTTCAGCCATCACGTCATCAGAATATTAGACTTTGAAAAATTGTTTATGTATAGCAATCAATTTTGTAGTATACCACGTATCATCAAAATTTTTAAATTGTGTTTTTGATATCAGTTGCTCCCTCTCTTTTTTACATGACTAAAAATAATAACATATATATACCACTATGTCATACCAGTATCATCAAGGTTCTCTTCATTTTTCAAGATTTCCTATTTCTAGTCATTTTGGCCTGTGAATAGTATTAAGTGATGCACCAATATTCTAAGCATTTTTTGAACTAAATTTGGGATTAATTTTACTGTTATATAAGTAAACCAAAAATGTTTGACATATGTTACTTAAAGAATGGAGAAATATTGAAAAATCTTTTTTTGCATTACCTGAAAAACTAGGCAAATGTGTATATGGTATTGCCACTAGACCATAAATTATATGAAAAGACAGTCCATGTCTATATACCAGAGTTAAGGTTGATATCAAGATGAGTCTCAGGATAATTTTGTACGTATATTACCTTGAAAAGTTCCTTGAAAAAGGGGCTACATGCCGAAAGCACAACCTTATGAGCTTGCAACCTCTGACCATCACAAGCAATGGTAACATCAGTAAAATCCTCATCATCCCTCAAAGTCTCAAATTGCGACGTGATGTTGGCTTGAAAATTGTTCCATCGCAGGCAGAACTGTTGATCGTCCTCAGCAGCCATAACTTTTAGCAGAACCAGCCAATTTTCAGGTGGAAAATCCGTGGAAAACCGTCATGAGCTCGCCGGGTTCGAAAACCATTTTGTCGGGACAAAAATAAACTAGCTTAGTTCCTTTTAATTTTAATCAATATCTTTGGCCAACCAAGAAAAAGTAGTTTTCCCTGGATACTAGTGTCTTGGGTTTTCCGAATAACACATTTTTCATTTCCGTTTTTGAGTTATTTTTGAGACTAGCAGGCTAAGGCACTTCAAATGTCAATTGTTTTTTTCTGGTTAATTTTATTTTGTTACTGTAATTGTTATAACCTCGATCATTCGTTCATCGAAATTAAAAAATTCTCTTGTGCATTTTTTTGGGATTTAAAGAAGCAATAGCTATTTTAGCTGTGTCAATATAGGGGGAATATTGCATTAGTTTTTTTTGGACATTTGCAACAAATGCCCCTCAAATTTTAAATTTCCTTTCTCCATTGCAGTCTGAAAATTCTACCAACCTAAAGAACCCAAAATCGCTGTAAAATCTGTGATGCAATTTTAGAATTAAAAATTATTTCTGATCCTTCGCAAAAATTCAGCCTAAAGCAGCTTTAATATCGGCCTCACTATGAAATGCTTAGCAGTGCTCAAATAATATTTAATTTGAACAAAATCCTCAAATATTTATATCTATTCTATATGCATTACATTGGTGACCTTGAACATACTTGGGGAGTAGTACGTTCCACAATGCATCGGGACCTCGAAAGCAAGAACCATCAACATTGTTTATTTTTATAAATCTTCCAAGATATCTTTGATAGTAGAACATATATTTTTTCATTATTTTGGCATGCATTATTTGAAAGTAAACTAGAAATAAAGCTTTTTATAGTATAGCCGAACGCACCTCTATTACACAACCGCCAGATGACGTATGACAAATGACAGTTCATCGACAGGATTCGATTAAACACTGCTACCCTTGCAGTGCTTGTGGTTTATTGAATCGGTGCTGTGTAAAATAAACTTTAAAATGCTAAATTTATAGCATTCGTCGTAAATAAAATTGGTGCTTTTTAGTTTTTCTTTTCAACAAGACATTAAATTCAAACCCGTTATTGATTTTGGTTTCGATAGTTGTTTTTTGTGCAAAAACTCTGTAATCGAAGTATGAGATGTCAAAAGGTGAGTATTCTATTTTTCATTTGCATTTAGGCAAACCAGGTAATCGTACGTATTTGAGCTGTAGCATCAACGGAAAACTAGTCTGTTAATTTAAGTGAACAGCTTCAGTTACATCATCACTAAAAATTATAATTGGTAGTTCTACAATGCTCGGCCATGGACTTCTGAAAACTTGAAATAGTTGAAGCTTAAATAGTGAATGAACTGTGACTATGAAACATCAATCTATTTAACGAACATCGCGAACTTCATATTTAATTTTTTTGAACCACGCATAAGTAGGTAGATGCTTTTGTTTTTGCTGGATTGTTGGGAACTGCTCTCAGTAATTTAAACATTAAATAAAACCAATTTTTTCCAGCACCAGTTTAATTAATGAATCATTTTACAATTATTGTATTGTTTAACCACATAACAACACAGTGAGGAATGTTGACTTTTGATATGCTGCTTTTATTTTGTACTTTCCCCTGTTGTAGACCAGGTGTTGTGGTAACAAAACAAGGTTCAATAAGCTACCTGAGAATATTCAGCTAATTATTATAATAGCATTGATTTTGATGATGAGTCATAAAATTACTTATTTTGCAAGGGACCAATTATTGATTCTTTTCATGCCACTTTTTATCTATTTTGATAATTTGGACGTATTACAGGATGGCAGAAGCTTGCTCTGTACATAGCATGTGGATACTAAAGCCGAAGTTTGAAGTACCACAGTTTCTTTTGTGAGTCTCTGAGTGCAAAACTGTGTAATTAACAAACATATGATAATATAATTTTAGCTGCATTGGTTTTGATCTGAGGTATAGTGATCTTAAGAAAGGTGGAAATAACAGATCCATAGAGAATAGTGGGCATCTTTCTCTATGATTGTACTTACCTATTAATTAATTGGCTTTAATAATATTTCTGATGTGGGTTGCTCATCACATACTAATAAAGCTAAAACATCAAAATCAATCAACTTTTTGCAGTTATGTTACAATGACATTCAAAATAAGTAAACAGATTGATTAATGGTACCGTGTGCATAGCTTAACTTCCCTAATATTAGAAGATCCATATTAGAAATGACATTCACCCATCTGTTTGATGGATGACACATATTTTATATTAAATTTAGTATGTAAACAATATATATCCTGAGTGGGTTGGTTAAAGTATTCCTGGCATGACTATGATTAATTAAATTAAAATAAAAACGATTTAGCGTCGACTTCAGGAAACACTCGGAATTGCGGATTTTCCAGTACCATTTTCCTATTTTCATAAATTTGCAACTTTCCATTTCTAAGATCCCAATGGCAAGGGTCGAATTTATATAGCGATAAGCATCTAATAGCAGATATACACTTATCTTGAGAAATTTTTATATATTTATTATTTATTATATTTGCTATTATTTTGTTTAATAAAAAGTCATTCTCAATCTTAGTATTTCCAGGAATTTTTTAGCCAACCTACTCGAAGGACAAATAATTGATATACATATATGACATTCAAAATTACAATTAAAAAAAAGTAAGACCTACACATGACTCAGTTTGACATAAAATACCTTTCTTTCATTAAACACGAATCTTAGACCATAAGGAAAGCTGCACACTGCACAAGCCTATCCATATCATAGTTGCTAATTGATCCTCCACACACATTAATTGGGTGATAGAGGACCTTTGTTCATTCACTTTCTGAAAATATTTTTTATAGACTATCAACATTGTGGTTATATCTTCAGGCACTACTATGTCTTCTATCGAAGATGCCAGACTATCAGTGACAAGCATAAATGGTCGAGAGCATTTTCATGGTGGTAAAACAAAACTAAAAAAAGCACATAGAGGCTGACATATGTATGTATGAGAGAGATGGATGTATGAAAGTAATGCCTGCAGTTTTATTATGACCTGTCAAAAACCCTGAAAAGACTTATAGGTGATTTTTGTTTTCATTATTTTTATAAGGCGAGAAATTAATGCTGATATGATTTCTCGGGTTTATAGTGAAAGAGGTACATCTGATAAAAGCCTAACGGCCATGGAAGAAGTAGGGTCACATTTCAAGGATAGGGTGTGGAAAAACGGATTAGGTCATGCTGGAACTATTGAGCACAAAAATAGCCGAATTTGGGATACATGCAAACCTTCAGAAACATTTATTTCTCTTTAAGAATATTCCTGAATTCACTGTACATACTATATTACTCACCTCACTAGCTACGAGTAGTTTATTTTCTCAGTTTATTCTGTATTTTTTTTGCGGTTTTAAACCAAAATCCGCAGTTGGACGTTTTCAGAATAAAAAAATAATGTGATATTGAAATCGCTTATGTCACGAGTTTATATGGTATTTTTAGAAAGAGAAAAATATGTTTGGGAAATAAATATAAATTTTAGAGCAAACTCCGAATCATCTAGAAATATTGAACTGAACCTTGAGAGCACCACATCTCATAAAGTATAAGCTTTCTGCTCTTGGGGTTCTCAAGGATTCTGGACCTCCCGACTTTGCAAGAGTCAGAAAATCGACCGGTTGAGCTAAATCATTGATTAACGTATCCTACCTGACGATAGCGTAACTCATACCATATTCGCGTGTCCGAAAAATGATCTATGGGAATTTTTAACAGCTATTTTTCTCCTCCCACGCAATAATTAGAAGTCTACTTTGAAAAGGTTAGTGTCTCGTGTATGGCACAATAGCCATATGCTCATATACTCGTATAGTTTCCATTGTATATTTAGCCATAGAAATTCCTTAACGATCACGTTTGTAGAAAATAGTTAAAAAATGCAAAAACCTCGAAAAAAAAAAATAACCCTTCGAACGCTCTTATCTGTGAATAGAATTAGTTGCACATCTCAATTTTTGACGTTAGTTAATTTATACGCTTCTAACCGCGGTAATTATAAGCACCTTTTAGACATATTTCATACATCATAGATTGCCCCTGAAAACTTAGAATGATTGAGAAATATCTTCGTCACGCGTTTCTGCTCTCTGGGTTCACCGGCGTAACAGTCTCACCGATAAGTGTCGTGCCGCCGAGTCTGAAGTATGGAATCATCGAGGGTGAGGCATGGGGGAATTGGCGGCGTTGCCAGATCGACAGTTCTATCGGTAGGGCGGCGAAAAAATGTATATGTACTAATTTTATAGGGCTGTTTGACTGAATTGATCCTGTTGATTTCTCTGATGACAGCGTTGCGTGGAAAGTGCAGACAATCTACTTGACGCCATTTTAGGCGTAGGTAATCGCGAAAGATTTCGAAAATCAGATATATTTTTTGTGTGTCATTTTTCTCAACTTTCAATTTTGACATGTAATACTTTTCAAAAGTTGCATTTGCTTGTTTCTGAAAAACTACATTCAAAGTTTGGCATTTCGTTGTCGGTGTTGGCCCGCACAGCGGCCTCAAAGTTCCAAAAAATCCTATTTTCTCTGGATAACAATGACTTCTAATTTCTGATCCTTGAGTGTCATATCCAGGTCTTAGCAAAATACTATGGGTGCTTGTATTATTATTGATTAGTAAATATTTAGTAAAGTAGTATTCGATATTTGTTTATATTTGTGTACCTACCCTCTCAGAGTTCAATATTAATTACAAACATTCATTAACAAACCTTGGCTACCAGCTATGAAAATGTCTCACAGCTATTTTTCTCTTCTGGTGGTCTGACGGCTTGAGTCCATTGTGTACGAGAGAGAAGTGTGTATAGACACATATGTTAGAAAGAGATAGAAGCAGGCTGGATTGCGAAACTCATCAGCGCAGCAATCTGTCGCCTTTCCAATATGTTTCACCAGTTCCTTTAATTAAGATGCATATTGAAAAGATGCATTAGTTTATTCTTTACGCCCAAATAATGATTTTATTTTGAGCGTATACACTTTTGATTTGTGAATTGTGTCGAATCTGTTTAGGATTGATTCCCGATCGGTCCTAACGGCGCTCCATTTTAGGTCGAAATGAAAGGTCAGGTTCGTCACAAATTCTGCAACATTGCATCCTTAGGTCGTTTGATAATACCGCATCTTGTACATTCCAAGGTAAGGTTTCCACCTCCATGATCATAGCTGAGCGATTTTGGTCAGTACCCATCTTATTATCTTCGCACGTAGGGAAGTGTCGTCTTGCTAAGAAATGTCTTTCACCTGCTTACACGCAGGCAGTGATAATTTGTATTGCGTAACGTTATTTGTTACATCTTCCGACCGTATCGCTGTCGAAAAATGTATCAATAACTCAGGATGTGTTGATTTCATCTCCATCGGTAGAAATCAAAGATAATTCTAAAATAAATTAAAACACTAGCATCAACATTGAAATAAAAAATTCTAATCAAGATAAAAACGAAATATTAAATTAAATGTCCGAACAACATTCTTCTTGGGCTTGACAGTAACCTAACGTATTGTAGCAGTCTGAGCGAACATTTTCTGGTATAACATTCTGCGACACCGTTGCTAAGCAACGCGGTGATGTCGTTC